CCTTCTTCCCTCCTCTTCCTCCTCTCCCTCCTCCTGCCCCTAATCCTCCTCCATGACCGTCTTCATTCGATCTCCATCACCTTCTCCGCTCTTCCTCCTCTCCCTCCTCCCCCTCATCCCCTTCTCCTCCTCCTCCTCCCCCTACTCCATCACTTTCTCCCCTCCTCCTCCTCCTCCTCCTTCTCCTCCTCCACCTCCTCCTTCTCCTCCTGCCCCCTACTCCTCCTCCATGACCGTCTTCATTCGATCTGTAGTACCTGATACGACAACGACCCCTTCAGCTTCACTTTTGTTGACGATGCATCTCACAGGCACTTGGAACGTCTCAATAAAAAAAGGTAAATAAACACGAAATGTATTTACTACCAAAGTCTTAATGTTTCTCTACTCTATTTCGCCTATTATTGCCGATAATTACCCGTAAATGCCGGTCAAATGCTCATCTGCAACACACAAGTACACCGCACGCACGCCCTGTGCACAAACAACATGAATAAGAGAGGTATCCTCTTAGGGAGAAGGTGTCCTCTCTCTTATTCATGTTGTTTGTGCACAGGGCGTGCGTGCGGTGTACTTGTGTGATGCAGATGAGCATTTGACCGGCATTTACGGGTAATTATCGGCAATAATAAGCGAAAGAGAGTAGAGAAACATTAAGACTTTGGTAGTAAATACATTTCGTGTTTATTTACCTTTTTTTTATTGATACGTTCCAAGTGCCTGTGATGCATCTGCTTCTCTCTCACACACACTCACACGCGCGCGCGCGCACACACACACACACACACACACGCGCGCGCGCACACACACGCACGCACGCACACACACGCGCGCACACACACGCACGGACGCACGCGCACGCACACACACACGCACGCACAACCACTCGCACGCACGCACGCACGCACGCATGCACACACACACACACTCACATTCTCTCTATATTCTCCTCCGTCCTAACAGGGCACGGGACTCGGAAACGCTTGCGGCTTTGATTTATCAGCGCTGACGTCACTGGTACACGTACACTCCAACGTGCCTCGCCTCTCCCTGCTGAATCACATAGCTGAGGAGTATCCGGATGTCACCACCAGCTTACTGAAGGAATTAAAAACTGTAAAGGAAGCGAGGAGGTGCTAGTTGCTATACAATATCTATATGTATATTATATATATATATGCCTATTATTTAGGCATTTATTAGCTCTTGATTATATATATACTTTTTTATTAATTAATTAATTATTCATTCATTTATTTACTTTATATTTATTTAGTTAATTTATTCATTAATATTGTTTTATGGTTTCAATTATTAATTGACATACAATTTTTCTATAGACTTCAATATTTGCTTCCCTATGTCATTGTGCTGTTTTTCTAGATATTCCCTGGCCGATATCGAGGAAATGACTTCATCAATGAGCACTAGAGTCAAGGAGTTGAAGAAAATATTTGATAGAGAAAATATCACTTTCCGGCATCAATTCAGCACATTCATGGAGGTAGGTTTCCTGCATTTAGCGTTGTAACTGTTTTCTTCAACCCGAGTGCAACACGATAACAGTAAAGTAGAGATAAATTAACACGTTGTCGGTGCGTGCGCAAAGGTACATTATGTTAAATAAACACGCTTAACATGAGTAAATATTGCCTTATATTTACATTTTTTTGCTATCCCCGACTATTATTTATACCTGTTCAACGCTATCTTTATAGATGAATGGCATCGAGTGATAATCTTATCTAACAACACGTGGTAGTTGCTGCAGATATACGTTCCGTAGAGACAGTCTATGTCTCCCCTAGACACGTGTGAAATCGCTACCTTCGATTTCAAACAGAGATTACCGCGGTGTTTTCTTTTTAACAGAGAACGAGTTGCGGACTCTTCGAAATCCGAAGTCGAACGAAACGAATAAAATCGCTATCTAGTCAGCTAGCGGTGTACCTTGGCGTGGAGAAGGCACCGCACCCCCATCTATCGGATCTTATCGTGACACTTTGCGAGTTTCTCAACGATTTGGAATTGGCTCAGCGAGAGAACAGTCAGCGGAGGCTGCAGTGGCAGCAGACAGAGAAGCGGCGCCGCCAGCTCCAACAGATAGCTAAAAACGCACAGGGTACACATTACTTAGCGCATTACAGAATGTTTTATGAACTATAGTCTACGTTTTCATAACACGATGTTACTCAACTCTTCTATGTTTTTTTTAACACGATATTACTTGACGGCTCTACGTTTCACAAACACCTTTTTACTAAAATAGTTACATTGCATAATGCGCCTAATTACTATTATAAATTTCTCTTGTATATTCTACGTATTCCTGTGACGATATTACTTATCTATTCTATGGTATCCAGTACGGTATTTCTTGACTTTTCTAGTAATTTTCTAGTATAATGTAGTAATACCTCATTATACCCGTGTGCAGAAAGATTTGATTGGAAATTTGGGAAAAACGCTTAGTGGACTTGTGTCTATCAATCATCCATTATGGTTACCCCAATAAACTTGGAATCGAAATTTTTGAAACCTTATTCTTACCGTAACTCTTACTGTGTCATTAGCTTACACCTGATGATATCAGGGGATATCCATAGGTCTTCCGAAGTGAGGAATAAGGGGCGAGACTCGTGCACTGCGAATGCGACTGGATTTCTTTCCGCAGGTAAAGGTGTGGTCGAGAAATGTTTAGAACCGGTCCGTCGCGGAATCAGCGACGTCGCCTCGTTCACGTTCTTCAACGAGTTGACATATGCGCCGCGCGACGGCAGCGTTGGCAGCGACGACGTTGACGACACCTACGCGCTTGCAAGGATAGACCCGGTGACCGGTCGCGCGTTTCCCAAAGGCGCCGAGTACGTGAAGACGAAATACAACCGTGATGCACAGGAGCTGTCCGGCTCCTTCCTGAGTCCCGGTACGCATGCGCAAAGCTGTGACGCCGCCCAAACACAGCGACAACCGACTGTAGATTAGTAATCCGAGCAATGCGAGATAACTTTTATTTATTAATCACTTATTTCATCAAATTTGTCTAATTTTAACTTTTCATTTATCTTCTCATGCAAATTATTAATAAATTGAACTAATTTATGATTCATTATTCAACCATTATATTCATTCATTAGTAAAACCGATGCTCATTAGTAATATAGTTATGCTATATCAAGAGCTAATAATGCCTATATTATTAGATATTATTAGGTATTATTAGCTCTTGGCTATATATACATATATATATATATAGTATCAGGATCCATTACTCTTGCAGATAACAAGCCAGTTGACGTTGGCACGCGGACACCAGTGTCTGTATATGATAACATGCCGACGTCCACCCCCGTGCGAGGCGGTAGCTCGGCTATCAAGGTAAGCACTGAGATGTATCATCATCATCCTCATTAACATCATTATTGTCGTCGTCGGCAGCGGCGTCATCACCATCATTATCAGCAGCAACAGTAGCAACAGCATAAAGTACATTCCCCATGCAATGATCGGTCACTATAATTCACAAATGATCCCACTTTCGAATTTTGACCGGGTCTGGCTGGTCAGAAGAGGAATTGTATCTCATTGCAGACTGACGAATGTCTCTTTACCGAGAATTAGATTCAGAAAAGGCACATCGCCGTTGTTAACTCCTGTCGCTCTCTCTCTCTTTCGTTCTCTCTCTCTCTCTCTCTCTCTCTCTCTCTCTCGCTCTCTCTTACTCTCTTTCGTTCTCTTTCTCTACCATATGTCTCATATCACACTATCCCTACCCTTCACCTGAACTCTAACACTATCCTTAAAGTGATTACGTCACCGTAAATAAAAAAAATATTTCTACTTTTTCACAAAATACAAGTAATTCTGCTCACTTTTTATGGTTAAATTGCTGCATTATACTTCTTATATATTATATATATTATTATTTTACTATATTTTTCGATGTGAACATACATGCACTCGTGACGCATACATAGCCCATAGCAAGCAATTAATGTCAGGAACACTAATATCAAATCGTCCAGGTTTTTTGGATTTTTAACTAGTTGAGAAACAATTTTATCAGGTAAGAATTTGACAATAGGTTTAGTCTCGTTAGTTCTTACTTTTAATGTAAAAAAATGGCAACAAAAATTTTACAAATTTCACCATAGAAAATTCGTGACGTAGTAAATTTAGCCTTAAGCACAACACTGAACAGAACCCGGACCCAAACACTAAACAGAACCCTAACCCTAACCCAATCACTAATACTAACAATAACCCAAATCATACCTCTAACCCTAACGCTAAACACTGCACTAACCCTGTAAGTAAGCTAAACCGGTGTTATCCTAAAACCAAACTATACCACAATTCTAACTTCAACCGCAACTATAACCCTAACATTAACGCTCTCTCGCACCATAACTTCAACGCTCATGCTGTCTCGATACATAACCCCATTTCCAACTCTAATACTAACCATAATTCTAAACCCAACCCTAATTGTTACTATAACGCTAACGCTCTCTCGAACCACAACCCTAACTCTGACTCTACTTCTATCCGTGATCCTAACCCTAACCCAAACCTTTAATCGTACCCCAACCCTAACTCTAACCCCAACGCCCTACCCGAAGCATGCCGTTAACCCTAACCCTAACCAATGTCTCATGCTATATACACCATGTTCAGAATACTCGCGCGACAAAAACCAACCTATAATGTTTTGTCATAGACTTGGCTGAGTGGACAATACTTTCCTATGGACCTTCTCCGGAAAATACTTAATAATTTGGAAATGTTAGAAATCAATATTGCATTTCTAATTACTCTGATATCATATAAAAAAAATTAATGTATAATGATTTCTAACCGGCTATTGTGTGTACATGTGTGCTTGGGTCTCCCAACGCCCCCCCCCTCTCACTGTGTGTCACTCATGTGCGCACTCTTTCTCTTTCTTTTCTTTTACTCTCCCTCTGTTATTCATTCATTCCTCTTTTGCGCTGCCATCTCTTTGAACTTTCCTCCTTCTTCACTTTCACCTGATTCTACGCGTGAATATGCCATAATGCCGGCACTCGTTAGTGAGCTAATCATACCGACGGTGCTGCGCTCTATAGGATTGTGGCGTTACTACGCTGAGCCCGATCAAGGAGTCGCAAGTGATTCGTCAGGCAGACAAGCTCCGATGTCCGCAGCTTCCACTGTGCCCGTCAGACGACAAGGAGAACAACGTCCCGTCGCGGCGGAAGGGGAGTAAATCCGGAAAGGAGGGGAGAAGCGGGAATCTCAATGGCTCGATCTTCGAGAAGCGATATGCGCTGCGCGTCTACCAGCGGTTCCGGGCAAGCCTACGACGCCACAGCAAAGCGCATGATGGTTGATTACTAATTATAGTTAATTATCTATTATGAATAATTAATAAACTAGTATATTTTATTAATTAGCTATCAATCATAATTCATTTGCCTTAAGCGGGTTACAATAGGTCACTTACTCCTACCCAGTCGGTGATAGTGACTATATAATATCACAGCGGTTGTCTTATTTATTTGTTACGGACGTTTCGATGCCTTTCGCGGGTATTGTAAAACGGTGCCGAAACAATGGACGATAATTATTTATTATCGTGCGAGTCTGGGTTTGACTACGTTTGCTTTCGGTAGGGGTCGCTGAATACGCTATTGATAATATATTATTATATTTTACATCGCCCCGTATGGTATTTCATGTTTAGAGCGTGGTTCCGAATATTTATGAAATCTTATACCGCCCAGCTGTCAAGTTATTCTTTGAACGTATAGAATGCGCTTGAATGTGTGCGCACGTGTTTGTGTTTTTGCTTAGTACTAGTACTAAAGTACTACACTGACTACGCTTGTTTGACATCGACTATAACCTGAAAACGAAATCAGTGTACGAACATTCATAAAATTTAATGATGCTAATTAAATCATCACTCTACGGTCACTCGTAACACTAATACATTGATTGCTGCTGATGCTGTAAATACAAACCCACAAATGCTCTTATTGTGAAATCGAATATTTATATGGTGCAGCGTATATATAATACAGCCTTTAACGCTATAAATAATAATTTGCGTCCGTGTTATTTTTTGTCATATTGATGTTATTTACTGCGGAAAAACGCAAAGTTGGTTTTAGCTAAAAGAAATAGCAGGCAGGAAGATTTTTTTTACAAGATAGGCTCCACCAGTGTGTGTGGAGATATTGAAACGCAAACGTAAATGTTACGTAGTGTATTTATTGAAATCATCAGCCGAGTGTGATGTGTAAATTAGATATATCACTTAACGAAATCACAGTTTATTAGATTCAACGATCATCAGTTGATTAGTCATCAGTCAATCAGTCATCATCTAAAGCAGGCGTGAACATGTTTGGCGATTAATTGAGGCGTACGTATACGATTCTATAAGATCCAATAAAAATCTAATAAAGAACTCACATACGCACACACATACACACACACACACACACACACACACACACACACACACACACACACACATGCGTCATCGGCTGCGTCATTGCTGGCTGCGTCAGCGTCATTGTGGTCGGCGTCGTCGGTCGTCGTTGCGCGTGCGGCGACGTCGTTGTCGGCGGCTCTGATGACCTTCCGATGACCTTTACGCTCTCCGTCGTCGGCCGCGTCTTTCGTAAAGTCCGTCGTATCAGCCGACGCCTCCTCCTCGTCGTCCGTCGTCGCGCACACGCCGTCGGCGACCGAGGTCGCGTCGGCAGCGCCCCAAGCGGCGGCGACGACGTCGCACACGAGGCTGCTTTCCTCGCTGCTGACCGTTACCTCGTCACCGGTGACGTCAGAAGTCAAAGGTCGTCTGCGGCACGTCGTCGGAGCGTCGACCGGCACGTTACACGTGAACGACACCGAGAGAGACAGCATGGCGACACGGAACGCCGTGCGATGTCACGATGTAACGACCCCACGGTTTAGCGATGATAGTTGTGTGCACATTAGCTATGCAGGTGCATAGCTAACCCTAACCCTAACACACACACACACACACACACACACACACACACACACACACACACACACACACACACACACACATGTGCGCACACGAGCAAACGACACTTTATGTAGAATCGTGCAATCTCGATCGATCTACTGATACTTATCTTCTCTCGTTAATGTTTTACTTGCAGCGACATGAACCGACCTGAAGGCTTATTAAACAAAACTGCTCTGTGAAAAATAATCGCGCGCATTTTTAAACCCGACCTCTCGGGAAATAAACCTACAACTACAGGAGACCCGCGTGTCGAGACCGCCTTCACCTTCAACCCGCCACATGGGCTTTTCCATGGAAACTTAAAAGAGTTTCTCTGCGTGCGTGAGAAAAAAACAAACAGCATTTTTTTCTCGTTAAAACAGTAAACCGTCTCCGGTATTTCTTAACAGCGATTGAAGTGAAAAAAGAGAGCAGCTGCGCAGATATTATGTTATTTACCAAACACGTCGCCACTTAGCAGGATCGAGTCGCGAAATTGTAAACATATTTACCCCTTCTCCCTCTCTCGCGTAAGAAAGTGCGTGGAAAATAACAAAACGAGAATATTTCATCTGTAGTGCTCCCGCACGCCGCCACGTCAAGACGGCGCGCGCGTCGCCGTGCAAAGACAGCAGCTGTTCGGAGAGAGAGAGAGAGAGAGAGAGAGACAGAGAGAGTTTGACAACCCGCGTGTTTGTGATCGTAACCCGCCTGTTCACGCGTCAATAGCAACCCGTCGGCTAGATAACACACCGAGAAGCCACTGACCAGACGAACGCCGCCGGTGCACTGGGCTCTACATGTTTCCGTACTCGGAGTAACGAAATTGGCCTAACTAGCGGTATGATAGCCGTTATAGTACATACACACGAGCAGGCGGCTTGAACAGCTGTCACTTCCCTACTAACAACGCGTTAAATCCTTATTCCAAGCGCGCACCCGCGGTGTCATGGTTTTCGGTACTGATATTAACTGCGCTGGGAGTGAGGTTCGCGACAGCCGCGCTTCTGCCGGGTTAATTTGTTTTCGGGTCGGACGGAGCATTCCCTCCGGTGGCTTGTTTCGCGCGCGCGGGTGAGGCTGACCTCGCCTAGATGCGAGACTCGCAAGTTGTTGTTGTTTTTTCGCGCGGGATGCTGAGGATAAAGTCTCGCGCAATCATCCGAAGTCGTTTAGTCTACGGTGCCGAGTCAGCGCCGTGAGGCAGTGGAAGCAACACGCGATTGTAACATTGCAATCGATTATAAGCCCACCATAAACGGGCTGTGGCGCCGAGCGGGCGGGTTGTTGTTGGTCGCAACACGACACACGGAGCGGATGCATCGATGAATTGGAGGCTGTGAAGCCAGACTTCACGCGACTCCTGCTCGAAAATCGCTTTGTTTTCTGGGATCGAAGCGCTTACTTGTGAAATCTAGCGAAAACGCGAATGTATAATAAATGTGTTTATTGATTACTGGCATTATATATAAGTTATGTTATCCACCTTGCATGCGCCGAGACAAGAAACACATAGCTCGACATAAACGGGGATCGTAGGCCTATTTTAAATGCATCAGACTATGTACGCTATGCTATGCTACGCATCTCACACTATGTGGTTTAACAACCAAGAAGCCATTAACATTAACTATATTGATCTAGCTGCACGCGCCTGAATAATCACCCTCCGCCCCATTAGATCATTTAATCAAAGTCGATTAATTATCGAAGAAACACACTATAGCAGAAACTTTCAATCATTTCAGGCCAGGCGACCTGACAAGCGTAGTCTATAGTAGTGTTGTAGCGTCAGTAGTAAGCGTAGTAGTAGTAGGTTCTCTCACATCGTTCGCGCGCCTTCCTAATCATTCATAGAGCTTTAAGGAAACAAGTCAAATTCTTGTGGAATTTGCTTTCGGAAAATTCCTGGCGGGTTAAACGGCGGGCGGCATTGCATTGGCGGGCGGGGGGTGGGAGCAACGTTACAGCTGGAATAAAGCCCAGCATTGCGGATGCCAACAATCTGCGGATTGCAAGAAATAGTATGAAATATGTTCATCCAAAAACTTGTTGCGCGTGCATTAGGGAGGATTTAATGAACATGTGCCGTACACTTGTGGTTAACGGATCCAGCCACCGACGGCTCAACAATGCGGTGCATGTCTGCACAGATGCTCTAGTGTTTCTTTGCAATGTCAGCTGCGGCATAAATATATAATTTAGCTGATATACCTATATCTATCTATCTATCTATCTATCTATCTATCTATCTATCTATCTATCTATCTATCTATCTATCTATCTATCTATCTATCTATCTATCTAGATGAGCCATTTTCCCAGTGCTTATACATATACGTCCATGTTTTGGCTTCTCTACGTCGTTGTACCCCCCGCACACACTCATTTAGCACACACAGCCCACCGGCGGATCTAACCTACACTCTCGAGCAAGACGAATCATTCTGCATGGAATCTCTACCACGCACGACGCGGGCCCCGATCAGGGATTGATCGGATTTCTTCCCAAATTTCGTTCCCCGCACAATCAATCGCCAGTAATTCGCATAAACACCGTATTTATATGCAAAACGCGCGTTTTTTTAGGAAACCATTGATCACTGGACCACAAACACCACCGACCAAACACGAGTGTAGAGCATTGTGTGGCGCACACACACACATTCCTGCAACATTATACCCGCCACGCTTTTTTGTTTGCCCCGGCATGATTTCATGTCTGAATAATCACGATGCGGCCACTAAGGTTTTTTGTCCCGCGTTTCCCCCCGCTTGAAGATTGCCCGGTCATCAATAAGAGGCGGTGTAATCCGTGAGAGGTCGGGGCCGGCCGCCAGGGTCCCCTATTATTTATTATAAATATTTATATATAGGGCCTCTAGGCCCGGCAGCAACAGAGGTCGAAAATGTTGAAGTCGGGGATTCCAGCACCTGTGGTGAGCACATTTGAATTATTGGTGCAAGTTTGTGGAATTAAGCCGAGCTGACTGACCGTAGCGTTTCCGGCTCAGGTGCCCGGCTTTGCCTGTCCTGATTGCCTTTTGCCACTAGCGTCTAGAACAGACTGATCGTTTAACATAAAGCATGCGTAACGGTATAAATGACCCGTTCAATTATCACTTGTCCATTGTCATACAGTAATAAATATACCGGGCAGTAGGTGAATGGAATTAAACGGCTGAACCGGTCGCACGCACCGGACCGACTGACGGTTTTTGGATCCGCAATCGATTGAAATGGATGATGATTGGATGGATGGATGGATTGGAAGGATGGATGGATGATGGATGGATGGATGGATGGCAGTGGATGGAAGGGATGGGATGGATGGATGGATGGATGGATGTGATGGATTGGATGGAATGGATGGATGGATTTGGAATGGATGGATGGATGGATTTGGATTGGATGGACATGGATGGATGGATGGATGGATGGATGGATGGATGGATTGATGGATGGATGGATTGGATGGATTGGATGGATGGAATTGGGTGGGTGGGTTGCGGTGGATGGAAATGGCTGGAATCCGGATTGGGTATTGGATGGATTGGATGATGGATGGATGAGTGGATGGCACTGGATGGATTGGATGGGAAGGAAGTGATGGATGGCTGGATGGATGGAATGGATGGATGGATGGGATGGAATGGATGGAAATGGATGGAATGGATGCGAATGGCATGGGTGGAGTGGATTGGATAGAATTGGATTGCCATCGGAGGGAAGGATGGATGGCATGGATGGATTGGATGGAGTGATGGATGATATGGAGGGAAGGATGGATGGATGGATGGATTGGATGGAATGGAATGGAACCCGAGAGAATGATGGAACAAGAAAACTATAAAACAAGTAAACGCGGTGGATGGATTGATGATGTGAATGGATTGGATGGCATGGCTAGATGGATGGATTGGATGGGATGGATGATGGGATGGGCATGCGGATGGATGGATGTGAATGGATGGATGCGATTGATGGATTGGATGGATAGATTGGATGGATGGATGGATGGATGTGAATGGATGAATGGATGGATGGATTGGGATGG